GGAAGAAGAAGAAGAAGAAGAAGAAGAAGAAGAAGAAGAAGAAGAAGAAGAAGAAGAAGAAGAAGAAGAAGAAGAAGAAGAAGAAGAAGAAGAAGAAAGAAGGAAGAAGAAGAAGAAGAAGAAGAAGAAGAAGAAGAAGAAGAAGGAAAGAAAGAAGGAAGGAAAGAAAGAAGGAAGGAAAGGAGGAGAAGAAGAAGAAGAAGAAGAAGAAGAAGAAGAAGAAGAAGAAGAAGAAGACGAAGAAGAAGAAGAAGAAAGAAGAAGAAGAAGAAGAAGAAGAAGAAGAAGAAGAAGAAGAAGAAGAAGATGTACACCAGCAAAAGAACAATGGTATTTACACCAGCAAAAGAACAATGGTAATCCCCCTTCTTTTCGCCAAACATACTCCTCCTCGTTTTCTCCTCCCCTCTTATTCAAGCAATAAATGATAATAATAGTGATGAATGACCAAACCAGAATCAATGTCGGAATCCCTCTTCTACTGCCAGTACAACTTGAGGTCCACCATAGCCATGGCTGCCGCCTCCTCCTTCCTCATCTAACCCGAGGCTATGACGGACTGCTAAGGGCCTTGCCCTGATGTGCAAAAGACAATGCAAAGCAGCTACGGCCTCTTCCTCTCAGGCCTGCCTTGCTTGACTCTGCCTCGAAGCTTCTTGATGGAGCTCTAACCCAACTGGGGCCTTCCAGATGCAGCGCCCCCCGAGGTGATAAAGATGGCGTCCACCATACCCCTGGCGCTCCCCTCTCCTAGTCCCCTTCTTCCTCCTCCTCCTGCCCGAGATCCTCCACCATAGCCATGGTGGGGAGCTGAGCGTTCCTTTTCCCCACAGCGCTGCTCCAACCACGCGCTCCAGCAGCATGTCGCCCAAACTTGCACACAGCAAATGAGGAAGAGCTCATTGCTCTTCCTGGAGATATAGCGAGTCAGCTGCCTCCTTGGGCGGTGACTTCCAGACCGCGAGGCCTCCAAGCAACCGGTACCTCCACCCTTTTGGAGGGAAACAACGTTGCAGGCTCTGATATCGTCCGCACATGCCCTAGACTCAGACTACTTGGACTGGTACCCGCCTTGACCTAGCCTACAACTACTGGGCCTCTAAAACTGCCAACTTTTGTCTTCATCTGCTCGGTCTCCAGTCCCTGACACATCTACCCCTACTTCAGTGGAGCTGGCCGACCTACTACTCGAGTGTTTTTCCCTGCTGCTCTAAGTGTCGCGGGCCTACTCCTGCCACTTGAGTGTTTTCCCCATTGCAACCCATAAAGTCACGGCCACAGGTAAGTACCGGCCCTTCGGGGCCTCCCACCAAACAAGTGCGTTTGCGGGTCACACACACACTCAGGCCGACAAGCACTCAGACAGGCATGCAGACCAGCAAAAGCACGCACAACACAGGCTTAGAAAACACAGCAAACGGCGGGAATCTCAGCAAGGCATTCGTTCCAGTGGCAAACCTCCGAAATCAGCTGTCTTTCCAGTCCGTGTTTTGGCAGGTCCTTACAAAGCTGTCAGTGTACCCACGAATACCAAAAGCCCAAACTTCCCCATCATCCAGTCCCGTTCCTTTTTTTAATCCAGTCCCTCCGTTCTGCCTTGCCCTAAAACCATAAGTTGATAGCACAAGTTCTACAGCTGGCTGCCGTCATATCATTACATAGAGCAGATCCTACCAAATAACTAAAAAGCACAAGAATAAAGTCGGGGAGTAACATCTATGAGAGGATGGACGGAAATGGAGTTGCCTGTAGGGTTGGGGAGGATTTCATCTCTCTCTCTCTCTCTCTCTCTCTCTCTCTCTCTCTCTCTCTCTCTCTCTCTCTCTCTCTCTCACACACACACACACACACACAC